AACGCGAACGGAGCGCAAACGCGAACGCAAAGTGAACGGTGAACGAACGGTGAACGCAAGATGAACGATATATTCGGAATGCCTCTGATCTTTTCCTTGCATTGAAACTATTTTATTGTATTATAATGTCAGGTGCCAAAAAATAAATAAATAAATAAATAAATAAGTAAACCAAAAAATGAATAATAAATAAGTAAATAAAATAAATTCTCCAAAATTGTCCTAAGAAAGACGATTCATGCACATTAAGTTTTTAATCACACGATTTTTAACGCATTAAAACATTGCAATTGTTGCCGAACGCTGAAGTATAAAAGATATTTTTTTAGTTGGAAAATAAAAATGTTTATTCTTATTTGATAACAAATCAGAGAAAACTTCTGACTTATAGAATGAATTAAAGCGATTGTAACATCCATTCATATATGTATCTCCGTGTCAAGACGATTTCATGTAAAGTAATAAAAAAAAATAATTACAAAGGTCAGTGGACGTTTTGCATTTATACCCTCGTATTTTAAATGTTTAATACAATAATATATTATGTGTCATTTCTATTTTTCATGATGATTTATTGAGCAGACTTCTACATGTATCTGTAGATGGCCGTGATTATACTCAGACAAGATAATACAAAGACACATATTCATATTATTTGTTATAAATTCAATTTTCAGAACTTGATATTTAAGTAGTATTATCAAACAGACAAATGAGAGAGAGAGAGAGAGAGAGAGAGAGAGAGAGAGAGAGAGAGATTCCGTTTCAGCCCCCCCCTTCCTTCCTTTCAGGCTTCACTAAATGTTTGCACCTATATCAAACAATAACTCTGATATTTTTTTCTAAATATATTAGACAGTGAAAGTAACTCTTTTTTTTTTTTATCAACAAATCATTTCCATCTGTTTGACAGTCATACTCGTTTTTATTTTCCTGCTTCAAGTTCACACGAAGTCCACGTGCTTGTCCTGTCAATCAAAATCATTCGACACTGTGCAGGTGTGAAAGTTTCGTCACATCGAAGACGAAGTGCGAGTATTTCCAACAAGTTATAACATTTATTTTTATCATTTCTAGATTTGATACCAACATTTGAATAATTAGTGAATAAAATATATTGGGCATTAACACTTGAATTTGAAACATACTCTCTGTCAATTTCAAATACCACCGCCGACACGTGTACATTTTGAACTACTATTGTTTTGTGACTTTTTTAGATGCATGTTTGTTTTGAGACTGAAATTTTTGTTCTAAAAAAGACCTTAACTTTTTTTTAACAGGTTAATTAAAATTTTCTGGAAATACAGTACTGACTAAGTAACCGATTTAGCGGAAAAGGGGGGGGGGGGGTATTAATTATATCGAATAGCAAACATATAAAGTTACGGTGAAGAAAGATTTTTTCTCTATAACTATAGACTTTACATACATGTATTATAGTAGCGAATATTCTGTAGTGCATTACATTTTAAATAAATATTTCCTTTAAACACACTATCAATTTAATTCGCTCCAAAGATAATAAATTAACAGGATATCCGCAGTACTATGTATAACTCTCAGAACTAGTTCTATCATATTTTCTGTAGTAATTGAATAAAAAAAACGCGTTAGAAATAAATATTTTCGTAATTTTGCTGCGTAATTATTTGACTTGGATAATTATATTTCCATTAACGATTTGTCGTCTTTAACAAAACATCAAAATGTTGCAGTGCTTGAAGTATTTGCACATTGGCCTTAGTTAAATTTAATATTTCAGCATCGTTCTACATAGGTACAGGATGTGCTTATAACAACATTTTTTTTCCAGAGTAATTTAATAAATAACCTAATAGCTAAGTTAGAATAATAAAAATATATATATTAGATTTTTCCCCCATGAAATAATGATTCTTCAAACACGATATGTTAGTATTAAATTAAAAAATCTGTAACTCCTTACCTACAAAAAGATAAGTCCTTTCACTTGGGAGTTCCGAATGGCAATGACCACTGAACGATAGGTGAACGCTGAACGCAAGGTGAACGCAAAGTGAACGGAACGAAGAGCGAACGCTGAACGCTTTGTGAACGGTGAACGCGAGCGCACGGTGAACGGTGAACGCAAAACTGTGAACGGAGAGCGAACGGTGAACGCACGCTGAACGAACGGTGAACACACGCTGAACGAACGGTGAACGAACGGTGAGCGAACGGAAAAATGGGAAAGTAGAACGTTTCAGGGACTGTATATTAGTAATGCAACATGAAAATTTGTATTAGTGTATGAAATTTGATGAAAATATCTTGAATAGTTTCTTTAAAGTTGAAATCTAAAAAGTTGGGTATAGATGATAAATTCTCACCAAATTATGTATAAGTGCATAAGCTTACATAAATATATCTTGAATGATTTCTTAAAAAACTTAGCAAAATGCAAATTTAAGAAAAGTGAGGTCAAGGTCACAGGAAAGTTCAAGGTCAAACATTTTTGATGCCGTTGAATAGTTCTCACAAATACGTATCAGCATATTAAGTTTGATAAAAATGTTTTGAATGGTTTATTTAAAACAGAGCTAAACATTAGCTCAAAATAAATGAAGTTAAGATCAAAGGAAAGGTCAAGGTAAAAAAATGTTGATCCATGTGAAAAGCTTACATCAGTATATATTAACATATGAAGTTTGATAAAAATATTATGAATGGTTTCTTTAAAACTGAGTTAAACACAAATTGAGAAAAGTAAGGCCAAGGTCAAATGAAAGGTCAAGGTCAAAAATGTTGATGCAGTTGAATAGCTTACATCAGTATGTTTCAGCATATGAAGTTTGACAGTAATTTAAGAAAAGTGAGGTCAAGGTAAAAAATGTTGATGCAGTTGAATAGCTCTCATCAGTATGTATCAGCATTTGAAGTTTGATAACACTATCCTGAATGATTTCTTTAAAACTGAGCTAAACACTAATTTAAGAAAAGTGAGGTCAAGGTCAAAGGAAAGGTCAAAGTCAAAATGTTGATGTAGTTGAATAGCTCTCATCAGTATGTATTAGCATATGAAGTTTGATAACACTATCCTGAATGGTTTCTTTAAAACTCAGCTAAATACTAATTTAAGAAAAGTGAGGTCAAGGTCAGAGGAAAGGTCAAGGTCAAAAAATGTTGATGCAGTTGAATAGCTCTCATCAGTATGTATCAGCATATGAAGTTTGATAAAAATATCTTGAATGTTTTCTTTAAAACTGAGCTAAACACTAATTTAAGACAAGCTTTTTCAGAGAATTTGTGTCCCCTGCTTAGGGAAAAAAGAAAAGCAGGGCGGAAGTAATGACGGCGTATGAAAAGGTCCCCTCTCCAATCTAGAAATCATGTTCTATCATCTCTAACAAGTCTCTAGTTCATATCTTTAGCCATTCTTGAGAACACTCGCGAACAAAATTTTTATTTTAAAATCAGACATTGAATGCTCATAATTCAGCACTGGAACCGAATTTAACAAAAAACGGAATTTTATATAAAAATCATATAAAGATCTTCTATCCCTGAAAATTTCAAAAAATTCATTGAATAGTTTTCGAGAATTCGTGTGCAAAAGATTTTGTCTTAAAAAAAGAGAATAATAAAAATTCTCTACAGTTTGGATTTATCATTTTTAAAACAAATTATATATTTATCATTCTGTAAAGAGTCTCTATTAAGGTATTCAATGTATAATGAAGCTTAGGGATTTTGAACAATTTTGAATCATTTTAAACTAGTTAAAAATGCATTGCTAGATAACAATGAAAGTGAAATAAACCAAATTCACATGACTGATAACATAAAAGAAACTGGTCATTTTGCACTTTAAAAGTTTTGAAGAGTTATCTGCCCTTGATGCAAAGAAAAAAAATTAATTTCGTAAAAATATCTGCGGTAATTGATTAATTTTATTTCATATTTTAATAAAGAGAGAGTGTATGCATATTTTCACCAAGAGCTTTTTAGCTCACCTGAGTCGAAGGCTCACGTGAGCTTTTCTGATCACATTTTGTCCGTCGTCCGTCCGTCCGTCTGTCTAGCTGTCCGTCTGTCTGTCTGTCCGTCCGTCTGTAAACTTTTCACATTTTTGACTTCTTCTCAAGAACCACTGGGCCAATTTTGACCAAACTTGGTACAAAGCATCCTTGGGTGAAGGGGAATTTAAATTGTTAAAATGAAGGGCCAAGTCCCCTCACAAGGGGAGATAATCAAGAGAAGACAAAAATAGGGTGGGGTCATTAAAAAATCTTCTTCTCAAGAACCACAGAGCCAGTAAAACTGAAACTTATATGGAAGCATCCTGGGGTAGTGTAGATTCTAAATTGTTCAAATCATGACCCCCGGGGGTAGGGCGGGGCCACAATGTGGAATCAATGTTTTACATAGAAATATATAGGAAAAATCTTTAAAAATCTTCTTCTCAAGAACCACAGGGCCAGAAAAGCTGAAACTAATGTGGAAGCATCCTGGGGTAGTTAGTCTGTGTGACCATCCAAGTTGAAAGTCGAAAGCAAAATCTGAAAGTGGATTGGAAATCGGATGGCGTCAGATTTTCAATCGACTTTCTGGTGAAAATCGTGATGTCACAATGACATTTCCCGCGACGCGAAATGAATAGTCGTTATTTTTGTCATCTATAATGAATGTATGAATTATTAATTGACAAAATATAAGGATACCCAGTAAACGGCAATTATTGGGTACAAATGGCTAATTATATAAAGCATACAAGTCATAAACTATTATTTTATTACAGTAGTTTGCGAGGACCAAGATTCATGTGTTTATAGAATGCCAATTTCATTTCATAACCTTCGATAAGATACTTAGTGTTCTCTCCGCTTGACTCGCCGCTAGGTGACGCTATAAATAGCCATATAAAAAGTCTCCCTATAGAAATTTACTCATTCTTCGATTTGGCTCGTGAGTGACACTTACCTGGAATTGTTACGGTCCACTACACTTCGTGGTGTCCGTGTTCTTTTGTTTTTTTACGTTTTTTCCCTCGACCTTGGTTTTATGAGGAAACATTCGGATGTATTGAGCATACCAGACAGTTCCATGTCCTTCTCAAACTGGTCGAGAGAGCAGACTAGGCGTTCTAGGTTGAGTTCGTTGGCGAATTCAAGAGAACACGTTTCTCGACATGGTCGCCATTTTGATAAAGGTGAAACCCCTAGTAGTGGGCACACCAAAGCTCAAACTCACAGTAAGAGTAGAGCGAAGAAAAGGAGACACTCTAGTTCGAGTTCTGGCTCCAGTTCAGATTCTTCAAGTTCTGACGGTTCTAGGAGTAGCAGTGATTCTAGAGCTTCTTCTCGTAAGTCACAGAAGTCGGGTTCGGAATCCTTTAATTCCAACACCGGAAGTAGAGAAAAAGAAAGTAGCACCTCAAAACCAAAAAGAAGTGTAACGTCAGAAACGATTGAAGTTTACGAAAGATTTGACATTAATAACGATGTAAAGGGAGAAAAATTTGACAATGAGTTGAAACAGTTTTGTCAGCCATTCTTTACTAAATATTTCAGTGACGAAACCCTGAAAACTAAGATCTTGGACAAGTATCCAATACCCGATGCAGGTGATCTTTTCAAAGTGAAAAAATTAGATTCTTTTATCAGTCCTTTACTGGAAAAGAAAAACAAACAGTTTGATAAAGGAGCTGACAAAGGGGCACAAAATATTCAGTCGAGAATTTACAAAACCTTGGGGCCTCTTTCTAAGTTGTGGGGCATTCTAGAAGATCTGCGTGCTGCCTTTGGGGAGTCTCATGAAGTTGATAACGTTGACGTGACCCACATGTGTTCTTTGCTAGAACAGTCTGTTTGTTTGATTGGCCAAGCAAGTGTAGCAGTTGATCACCATCGCAGAGTCAATGCGACGGTGAAAATTACAGGAGATTACAAGAAGGCTAAGGCCATTTTGGATGAAAATGCTGAAGCTTTAGAAACTAGCGGGAGTAAACTGTTTGGTGATAAATTTATAAAGATCTTAAAAAAGACAGGGAAAAGAAGAAAAGAGGCTAACGAGGTAGTTGATGCTACCCCTGCGAGAGTATCAAGAATAATTCTTGAACTTTTAAGAAAAGTTCATGAAATATATTCTTGAATCTGCTCATGAAATATTCATGAAGATCCTATGAAGTTAAAATTGGACACTCATGATTTCATGAATTTTATTCATGAAAACCAAGTTCAAGAATATTCAAGAATAGTGGGTTGTTCATGAATTACTTACTACTCTTGAAAATTCATGAACTTCCTTATAGAATTCATGAAATCATAGTGTCCTGTGAATTTTAGCTTCATTAGATCTTTCATGAACATTTCAGGAACTTTTTAAGAATATTATTCTTGAATTACATAATTTGACAGAAGGCAAAATTGGCAAAACCACTGTGAGTACCCTCAAAATACATGTACATAAACATTCTATTTAAAAATTTGATAATATATAAATAATGACTACAATATTCTAAACTAAATGCTATGTATTAAATTAATTCATTGAATTTATAAATGTATACAGCTTTTAGCCAACACACTCTTAAACAATTACATGTACAGCCTGGATCAGTTTCAGAATCTTAAACAACGCTTGTGTTCTTCTTATGGCACGTTTGAGTAAGTCAGATGCCTGTGGTGCATTTGTTATCCCTGTCAACTTTGCTTCTTGACATTCCAAAAATGAATTTTTCTCTATGGGTGTCTGCTGGATCACTCACTAATTCATCCAAAATTGAAATCCATCCTTTAAATCATGACGTGGTTTTTTTTTCTAGCTCTTTTACAATAAGCCTTGTTTTTCATTTCACTCTCCCTGAAATTACATATACATGTATATAAATGATATGCCAAATAGAAATAAATATTACAGGGAACAGGATACTTTTAAATAATATGGGAATTGTGGTGATGCTGCAACTGGAGGCCAGAAAAAAATAAAGGAATTACCTGTGTTTTATACAGAATACTTGGTCTTTAATTTATACAGAGTCAGGAATCCTCAGAGACGAGTCAAAGTCAATTTGTTCTAATCAGTAAAGAAAATTTAAAAATGATTTTAGTTTCAATTTAGAATCAAATTTCCTTTTTAGCTCACCTGAGCCGAAGGCTCAAGTGAGCTTTTCTGATCACATTTTGTCTGTAGTCCGTCTGTCCGTCTGTCTGTCTGTCTGTCCGTCCGTCCGTCTGTAAACTTTTCACAATTTCGACTTCTTCTCAAGAACCACTGGGCCAATTTCAACCAAACTTGCCACAAAGTATCCTTGGGTGAAGGGGATTCAAGTTTGTTCAAATAAATGGCCACGCCCTCTTTCAAGGGGAGATAATAAAGAATTAGTGAAAAATTAACAGCATCTTTTAAAAATCTTCTTCTCAAGAACCACAAAGCCAGGGAAGATGAAACTCATGTGGAAGCATCCTCAGGTAGTGTAGATTCAAGTTTGTTCAAATCATGACCCCCGGGGGTAGGGTGGGGCCACAGTGGAGGATCAAAGTTTTACATAGAAATATATAGGAAAAACCTTTAAAAATCTTCTTCTCAAGAACAGCAAAGCCATGATGGGTCATATTTATATGGAAGCATCCTGGGGTAGTGTAGATTCTAAATTGTTCAAATCATGACCCCAAGGGGTAGGGTGGGGCCACAATAGGGAATCCAAAATTTCATTGAAATATATAAGAAAAATCTTTAAAAATCTTCTTCTCAAGAACCACTGGGCCAGAAAAGCTGAAACTTATATGGAAGCATCCTGGGGTAGTGTAGATTCTAAATTGTTCAAATCATGACCCCCCGGAGTAGGGAGGAGCCACAATAGGGAATCCAAGTTTTACATTGAAATATATAGGAAAAATCTTAAAAAATCTTCTTCTCAAGAACCACTGGGCCAGAAAAACTGAAACTTATATGGAAGCATTCTGGGGTAGTGTAGATTCTAAATTGTTCAAAACATGACCCCCGGGGGCAGTGCGGGGCCACAATAGGTATTACAAGGGGGGAAATCTGGTAAAGAACAGCATGGCCAAAGTTACTCAGGTGAGCGATGTGGCCCATGGGCCTCTTGTTTTTTTTTTTTCCATATCATAGATTTAGCTTGATTCAAATCATCGCATTTATCTTTAAAAAAAGAAGTTTTATATATAATACTTTTAAAACCAGCACGGATGTATATAAATCTAATTAAAATTAGATCTTTCAAGTGCTTATGTTGCTGTAAATTAAGATCGCGGTACACACCATATCAGCACTTCAGTATGCTAGGGGTTCACGGCGAGATACTTTTGACTTGATGCCGCGTAAACACCCCAATCCTATCAATAATATGAACAAGTAGTTTCTTTTAAGGATTTGCACGGATTGTAATTATAAGCGTTCGTCAAGAGATTCAACTCATTTCATGTATATATATGTAAACGTGTAGAATTATTTAAAATGGTAGATTTTAATTTTCTAGAACTCACATAAAAGTACTAAATGAAGTGGTTAACTAGGTCAGGTTTTTAATTTTTACTCCTACAAGTAAGAGCCTCTGTAAACGCCCCTACTCTCCTTATATACGGAATTACTAACGAAAAAAAAAAGACTGAAAAAACTATTTATGTTAATTAGGAGAAATTACATTGCTGTCTTTTCTCCTTGAATTATCTCCCTAATTTCCTTTCACCTCGACGTGATGTAGCATTGTACATGTACCTCTAACTACTGTATATATGTTTGTATGTTATTAATTTTGTAACTCATGTACCAATACTTTGGTTTGAGTGAATAAATTAAACTTGCACACCCCCCCCCCCCAAAAAAAAAACAAACAAAAATAAACAAACAAACAAACAAACAAAGATTCAACATTGAATTCTTTAAAAATATTAATGATTAGTTTACTTATCATCAGGGAAGTTTTTAAGTCTAATTTTTATTTATTTTATTATTATCATTTTTTAGGAAGGTAACATTCTTTACTTACCTACCAAAAGTTACTTTTATTAAAAATTTGATTAATTTGAGCGTCTGGTGAATTTGATTTACAGTGTACCCAGTCACGCATTTAAAATATACACATAGTAATCAATGGGCTGTAAATATTTCACTTACAGTAATTTGTGAAAATAAAAAGGCGATATTTCAAATGTTTTCAATAATATTGTTTCGTCAACTGCTGGTCAACGGAAAAAGTTTAACTTTTGCGACGTAGCTATTTTACCTTTCTTGTCTAGTGCAGGTTCTTTTTAAAAATCTTTTTATGCCGAAATGAAAAAAAAGAATACATGTATTTTCCTTCATTAGTCAGTTTAAAAACCCTGGAAAACATCAGATACTTCGGACAAGTTCTTTACATGTGGTATGTTTTCTTCAGACATAACCTGTAGATTACGTCAACATCAACGTCATAATGGGGCAAATGACGCAATGTTAAACTGAATGAAGGGGAAAAATATTTTCATCAATGATGATTTTCAGGTTTATTACAATAATCAGAACTACTTCAAACTAAAAAAACAAGTACCTGTTCATTTCTTGTCAAAATAAGTAGAAGGAATAAACCTTCAAAGTTTCCAAAATATTGCTTGTGTATTTACTGAGAAAAATAGAAATTAAAGAATTTTCACTTTTCGTCTGTTTCCATGGCAACGGTAGGAATTTAGAAAAAATTGAACGTTGACTGCACACCTAGAGTTTCAAATTATATTTTCTGTAAAGTTTCATGAAGATTGTCCAAGCCACCTCTGAGAACATATGTGAGCATAATACCTTTTTTCTGTTTTGTTTCTATGGTAACTGTGTGCGGCCAATTCCAGGTTTTTTTAAAAATAGAAATCAATTTGACACAGTGCAAGGAATCATCCATTAAAGTTGCAAAATGATTGCTTGAGCAGTTACTGAGAAAATCAAAGTTAAAGAATTTCCACTTTTCCTCTGTTTCCATGGCAACAATTGACAATTTGAAAATTTTAAATGCGAATCGCACAACTTCAATTACTGATCATCATTTCTATAAAGTTTATGATGAATGTTCAAGGGACCAGAGAGAACACTCCCGGACAAAATTTGTCACTTTTCACACGTTTCCATGGCAACAGTAGCCATTTTGAAACTGAAAGTCTGCACTGCACAAGTACAACTAGTGATCATCTTTTGTGGAAAGTTTCAGGAAGATTGTCCCAGCTGTCTGCAAGAAAATTCCCGGACAAGGTTTTTAGGCGTACAATAGCAATATGTCGCCTGACTTCGTTCAGGGCGACATAATAATAATAAGAAACAGTAGAATCACTATAAGGTCTTCCGTGAAGACGGAAGACCTTAATAAATTTGAATTGCCCATACATGTGATAATTTTTAGGCCCAAATACTGTACAGGAGTCTTCAAAATACTGGAATTTGGGTGAAAATACTGTACATTGTTCATCAAAAAACGGTACAAAAAACTGTACAATACATTGACCAAAAATCTATGTAAGAGGTTCATTTTTGATTAATAAATTTCAAATCAGTAAACAAGTGTACCACTGTGTACAGTGTTATATGTAATCTCATTTCAAGAAACTTTGCAGCTTTTAGAATTTTAACAATACCATGGTCAATGCTGAATTTGGTAAAAAGACTTCCATAGTACAGTGTTTAATGCCAGAGTTTGGTCGTCTCCAGTCATCTGCATTTTTTTTAATGATACTAAAAGCATTTTTCTTACTCTGTGTTAGAATGGACAATACTTATGCCCAAGCAGAGCAAAAAAAGTCATGGATTAATTAAATTTCGTGTTGCTGTCACACATTGTTGTTTCTCTTTGAAACGTCTTTAATTTCTACTGACAAAATTTTAACTAATTACATGTACGAGGGTTGTCCCAAAAAGTCATAGACAGGGAAAATAATTTTGTTTTTCTTTGCTAAATTAAATTTTTTTCATAGTAAAAAGCAACATTTTTTGATAATGAATTTCAAGTTTCATGATAATAACACATTAAATAAGAAAATAATACAAAAATGTAGAAAACATATTAGTGTACATCAGCACACGAAAGCAAACTTAATTTATGTCTCTTATAACGTCATGATCATTTTAAGTATACAGGGGTTGAAATATACCGTAGCCCGACGCCTGGGGCTAGTCATTTTAAGACTAGGGCTAGCTAATTTAAATGTAATGATAGTCCATCGGACTAGCAGAATAGAAAAAAATGTCTTGATTGTCAGTTTACTTTCGCTTTTCTATGTTGACTGGGTTTCCTTGACTGAGAACTAGTTTAATGTTTCTGTCACCAATGCATTTGAAACATCTGTTATGTTTTCATTTTGCATTAAAAAAAATGTTGGGCTAGGTAGTTTGAGGTTCGGGCTATTAATTTTTTGCTGATCAAAAGCCCCTAGGCTAGTGGTTTTTCCAGGAAAATTTCAACCCCTGAGTATACCGTCCCATTTGTTTAACATGTGTCTCTTAAGCTTCTCCTTATTTTTTCAAGAGGAAAACCACTATTGACTGAGTGACTCGGTAAATCTCACCAATGTCTATATTTGTTTTTTAGCTCACCTGAGCCGAAGGCTCAAGTGAGCTTTTCTGATCGAAACTTGTCCGTTGTCTGTCGTCGTTGGCATTGTTGTTGTCATTGTCATCGTTGACGTAAACTTTTCACATTTTCATCTTCTTCTCCAGAACTACTAGGCCAATTTCATTCAAACTTGGCACAGAGTATTCTTGGGTAAAGGGGATTCAAATTTGTTCAAATGAAGGGCCTTGCCTCCCTCCAAGGGGAGATAATTACGAAATAGCAAAAAATAAATGGCATTATTGAAAAATCTTCTTCTCAAGAACCAATGGGCCAGGAAAGATGAAACTCATGTGGAATTATTGTCAGATAGTGTAAATTCAATTTTTTTCAAATCATGACCCCTGGGAGTAGGGTGGGGCCACAATGGAGGATCAAATTTTTACTTAGGAATATATAGGACAAATCTTCAAAAATCTTCTTCTCAAGAATAGCAAAGCTATGATTGGTCATATTTATATGGAAGCATCCTCAGGTGGTGTAGATTCAAATTCGTTCAAATCATGACCCTGGGGGTAGGGTGGGGCCACAATGGACGGTCAAAGTTTTACATAGGAATATGTAGGAAAAATCTTTAAAAATTTTCTTCTTAAGAACAGCAAATCTATGATTGGTTATATTTATGTTAAAGTATCCTCAGGTGGTGTAGATTCAAGTTTGTTCAAATCATGACCCCCAGGGTTAGGGTGGGGCCACAATGGACGATCAAAGTTTTACATAGGAATATATAGGAAAAGTCTCTCAAAATCTTCTTCTCAAGAACAGCAAAGCTATGATTGGTTATATATATTTGTAGATTCAAGTTTGTTCAAATCATGACCCCCAGGGGTAGTGTGGGGCCACAACGGACGATCAAAGTTTTACATAGGAATATATAGGAAAAATCTTTAAAAAATCTTCTTCTCAAGAACAGCAAAGCCATGGTTGGTCATATTTATATGGAAGCATCCTCAGATAGTGTAGATTCAAGTTTGTTCAAATCAATAACCCCCAGGGGTAGGTGGGGCCACAATGAAAGTTCAAACTTGTAGGGAAAAAAGTCACAGATAGTCAAAAAAAAAATGTAAGCATTCTTAGTTAGTGTAGATTCAATTTTGTTCAATTCATACCCCCCCCCACACACACACTCCCTTTTAGGTGTAGGTCGGGACCACTTATGCATTTAAGATTTTCAATACTAAACTGATTTTTGCTTTTTTTCTATCCACAGTGCTCAGGTTAGCGATGTGCCATCTGGGCTTCTTGTTTTTTATCAGATTCAAATTTCAGTCCTTGAAAGGTCGCCTTAGATTATGTACCTGTAGGTAGCAGAGAATACACAAATTTGACGTAGAGCATGTAGTCGACCCATAATGTTTCTCACCATCTGAATTTAACAAACAGTACTCTACTTCTTATAGGCATAACTATTTTAGCTACGGAGGTAAAAACTGTCGTAGAATCTCTTGTACCATTAAAAAAACTTCTCTACTAGCGTTCTTGTGTGTTATGTCACTTCTGTATCATTTTTCCGTCTCTGAAGTGGACAAACCACATTTGAAGCAATTCTATTACATCCCCATGCGCCACTAAGGCGTTTGAAGCCGTCATTTTGAAAATAACGACAACAATCTCTTATCTCTGATGCTATTGGCTTGAAAATTTGACATAATACTAAAGTTTTGTTTCTAATCTCACTGATATAAATTTGAGTTTGATATTTTGCATATTACCAGAGAAACAAATGCAATTGGAATTGTTACATGCGTAAATTATTTTGGATTTTGTTCGTGCGCCGACAGACCATATAGGCCTACCTATAAATCGTCATAATATTATTACTTTTAAAAATATATATTTAAAAATGCACTATTTTATGGAACATTGAATATATTAGAACTATGCAAAAATTGGTTAGTATTGGTTGAATGTTTAAAAAGTTATTAACATCGTCTACGACTTTTTGGGACAACCCTCGTACAGATGAAAAACCCCTTATAATAATAAGGGTATTCTATCTAACAAAAAAGCTTTGATACATTTTAATAACAATGTAATTATCGCGGGAATATTTCACACCTTTGATCATGATGTTTTGTTTACATTAACCAAGCGCAGTAAGTCATGCATCAAACGAGATTTCTGGTGTTGTGAGAGCGAGAATTAAGAAAAAATGGCGGTTTCCGGTAAACAATTAAAAAATACAGCATAATTTTTCATTTCCCTTGAATTTTCGAGCCCATGAATGGGGTCAAAAATACTTGACATTTTGTGTACAGCTGGTACATATCACATGTATGATTGCCATTCTTTTTGTCCATTTTTTTTTTTTAAATTGTTGATATCATATGGTCTCTGAGCTTAGTATGATGGGCCTCAGTTTGGTTTTAATTCATATTATAGTAATCATACTAAGTTGAACATAGTTTTAAATAGATCCCTTATTTTAAAACAAAAATCTACCAAATGTGGGGAAAAATTACTCTGATATATTATTTGTTGGACCAATTTAATCTTTTTCAGAATGAGAGTATAGTGGAAGTGAAATTTGTAGCCGGATCAATAGGTGCAAGCCAGATTTTCTTGAACTTAAAGAAAAGGCTTGAATATGAAAAAGGCAACCATTTATTCCAGATCACTGTTAGAACAGAGGTAATTATCAATAATTTATTTAAAAACAAAGTGTTTGATTTTAAAACTTCACTGAAAATTGTTTATCATTTACAAAGTCATACATGTATTAAGGTTACTTGTTTCAGATGATCTATTACTGCATGTCTGTTTCAAACTCACCTGAGCTAAATATAAACTTTCAGATAATAAAAAAAGTGGCCTGACATTTGTCTGTCTGTCTGATGAGTGTCATCTGTAAAGTTTTCATATAAACTTTTTATGTTTTCATTGAACCAATCAGCTATTTTTAATCAAACTTGCCAATTAGCATTTGTCTGAATGAAAAACCACAATGTAAAAGACTTTTTTAATTCTAAGTAATAATCATTATTTAATGATTATTTAAGTTTTCATGAAATAAGTTATCAGTGAAAAAGAGGGCTATTAAAAAAAATCTCCATAATATATGCATATGAACATAACCAAAATCAGTCTTGTTTCAGAAAATTGTTAGTTGTTTTATTTAAAAAGTGCTAAAATTTCTGGATTTGTCATAAGAGTTTCAATCTCATTAAGGTTTTAATTTCATGCTGTAGATTTGTGCTTTTTGACCGATACTTCATAAGGTAATCTGAAAGCTTTATACAGTAAATCGCAGTTAATAGCAAAGTTCTGGGGACTGGCAAAATTACTTTGCTGTATCCGTAATTCGTTATATCCATATAATGAATTTGTTAAAGTATGCAAAGCCAATTCATTATATCATTTTTTCCTTCAAGTATAACTAACAAATGTATTTAGGGAAGTTTAAAATATAAAGTTTATCTTGGAGTTCAAAAGTTTGAGACTGAATTGAGTTTCAAATATTAAAACTTACAAAATTATTATCAGTTCAATATTTAAGTTAAGATCTTTGAAAATTCGCTATAAATGATGTAAATTTTGTTATATTTAACTTCTAGGGGACAAATTCAATTTGCTGTAGTCGTAAATTCGCTATATCCGAGTTCATTATATCTATAAAATTTTACAAGGAATTCTTAAGTATTTTGGGGATTGCAAAAAACTGCTCTATATCCATAAATTCGATATATCGGTGTTTGTATTAAACAAGTTTTACTGTATTCACTATGGGTTTCATTTTGCAGAAAATTGTAAATTATATACACAGTGCAAATAAAACCATCTTGTGAATCTTCCAATCAACAGAATAATAGGAAAAATCCTCTCAATTATAGCAGGATCACATTTAGTCATGTCTATATTCCACTGTACCACATTTCTACAAATTGTTCTTAGTTTTCCTTAAAAAAAAAAGTTACGAATCTGGAAATTTTTTTTTTTCAATTTAGCAAAAAATAAACCCCATATAATGATTTCATAAATATGTTACACAGATCACATGTCACACTTATGTCAGGTAAAAGAATAAAAATTTACATAAATCAAATTATATTTGGTTTTAAAAATAACTCAGTATGACTTGCAGGATAAAATATCATATATTGATATATACTCTATAGCAATGCATAAAAATGTAGAGTTTGTTAATATGACAGTGCATAAAATATCATAGGCCACCTGAGTCACTCAGGTGACCTATTGCTATCCGTTTTTGTCTGCCGTTGTCCGTCGTCCATTTAAACATTTTCAGCTTCTTCTCTGAAACCATTCAACCAATTTTGGCATATAGCATCTATGGATGAAGGGGAACAATTTTTTTGAATTTCATGCCCCCTCTCCCCCCCCCCCCCCCCCCCCCCCCCCAGGGGTGGGGCTAAAATCACCAAAATCAATGCAATCTTTAAAAACCTTCTTTACTCCTGGACATCAAGCAGTCAAACTGTTAGCATGATTGAAATAAGGATTGAGCCCTTTACTAAAATTGTGAAATTCATGGCCCCAGGGTCAGGGGTTGTGGTGCTAGGGTGGGGCTATATACATCACAGAGTGAAAGTGCATTATTTCTTTGAAAGTCTTCATCTCTGCTCCTGGGTATTAAATAAACTAGCTAAGTACATAGTTATGTTGAGCAAGGCTGCCTCTTCCAAAATTATGAATTTCATGGCCCCTGGGTCAGGGGTTCTGGTGTTAGGGCGGTGCTCTATTGATTATACGAGGGTTGTCCAAAAAGTTCGTGGACAATGGCATTTGTGTCAAAATGAATAGTTCAAAATATACTTACTGTATACCAAAATATTAGTTATGAAAATCGAAGTCAGAATAGTTGGGTTTTTATTGTTTAAATTTAAATATTTTTGTAAAAATAGCGGTCATTAGAGGTTGCCGATAGTGCGCATGGACCAGGGTTAAAATGCCATAAACTTTTAAATAAAGTTTTCTGATTAAAATGATTATTTTCTTTATAAAATGATTCAAAGCTTTATAAAAATTAAATGTGTCAGAAATAAAGCGGTTGTCGTTATTTTCTGATATCTTTAGTATCACTTACTAAATAGACAGTGAGAATATTAAGCGAAAACCGCAAAAAGTATGTTTCAAAAATTGACAGAAAAAGCGACGTCGGCCATCCGAACGAAACAGTGTCCAATCATACAGTCATGCTTTAATATGGTTGAAACGACGTCAGACACAAAATATTTATTCAAACAACTTAAAATTATTGGAATATATTTAGTTCATTGATTTGTAATTGATGTATAAGCTTTTTCAATGGTGTGTAAAATTTCGGAGACACTAGAAGAAGTGGAAAACCACTGTTATTTGATGAAAATAGGATATCCTTATTCATGACGTTGTCGTTGGACTGGGCTGCGTATACGAAGTGTTAATATTTATGACGCTCGTAAATTATGACGTATTGTTTTGAATTTTAAAAATGAAATCAATTTTGGGCTATACATAAATATTATTTCGTACACTTGGCAGTGTGACATAATTAAGAAAATTAGCGTGTGTCCATGAACATGTGATAAAAATTCAAAATCCATATTTTTGACGTTTTCATGAAATTAACGTTACGTCAGACTGGGCCGTGCGGCTTGCATATACAAAGTATTTACACCTATATAACATTCGTAAAATAGTGTTCATTGTTTTAATTTTTAGCTCACCTCGACGAAGTCGAGATGAGCTTATGCTATACCCCCGGCGTCGGCGTCGGCGTCCCAGGTTAAAGTTTTAGGAGCAAGTCCCATTCCCAAGTAACTATAAGCCCTACCTGGACCAAACTTGCATGGATGATGCATCTAGGGATGGACACAACCAAACTTGCTTCGGATGCTGGATCTGACCTAGATTTTCCAGATGAGTGACCAGGTTAAAGTTTGAGGAGCAGGTCCATTCCTAAGTAACTATAAGCCCTACCTGGATCAAACTTGCGTGGATGATGCATCTAAGGATGGACACTACCACACTTGCTTCGGATGCTGGATCTGACCTAGATTTTCCAGATGAGTGGCCAGGTTAAAGTTTTAGGAGCAGATCCATTCCCAAGAAACTATAAGCCCTATCTTGACCAAACTTGCATGGATGATGCATCTAAGGATGGACACTACCACACTTGCTTCAGATGCTGGATCTGACCTAGATTTTCCGGATGAGTGACCAGGTTTAAGTTTGAGGAGCAGGTCCATTCCCAAGTAACTATAAGCCCTACCTGGATCAAACTTGCATGGATGATGCATCTAGGGATGGACACTACCACGCTTGCTTCAGATGCTGGATCTGACCTAGATTTTCCAGATGAGTGACCAGGTTAAAGTTTGAGGAGCAGGTCCATTCCCAAGTAACTATAAGCCCTACCTGGACCAAACTTGCATGGATGATGCATCCAGGGATGGACACTACCACACTTGCTTCGGATGCTGGATCTGACCCAGATTTTCCACATGTGAGACCAGGTTTAGATTTAGGAGTAGTCTCATTCCCAAGTAACTATAAGCCCTACCTGGACCAAACTTTCATGGATGATGCATCTAGGGGTGTACACTAACCAACCTGCTTCGAATGCTGGATCTGACCTAGATTTTCCACATGAGTGAATTTTAGCCATATTTTAACCAAATTAGCATGGATGATATATCTAGGGATGGACACTTCCAGACTTGCCTTGGATTCTGAATCTGACGTACATTTTCCAGATGAGTGACCAGGGTAATTTTTTTGGAGTAGCTATATAATATTATGGCCTGTTATGATTAAACTTGCATAGATGGTGCATCTAAGGATGAAAACTTCCAGACTTGCTTTGGATGTTGGAAGTGACCAAAATTTTCTTGATTACTAAACAGGTCAAAAGTTTTTTGAGCAGGTCTATAATTAAATCAAACTTGCATGGCCATTGATCTTGGGATGTACCCTAACTAGAAAAAAAATATGTGAAATTTGCCTTACATGTAGATAACATTCGTCGAGGTGAGCTTCGTAATCTTTGATTACCTATGTTTCATATATTTATTAAATCATGGTCTATATTAAGATATTATCGTACACATTTGCCATTGCGGACTTTATTAAGAAAATTAAGCATTTGTCCACGAAGTTTTTGGACAACCCTCGTATAGTGAAAATGCATTAAATCTTTGAAAATCGTCTTCTCTGCTCCTGGGCATGAAATAAACAAACTAAGTACATAGTTATGATGAGCAAGAGACTGCCTCTACTGAAATTGTGAATTTCATGGCCCCAGGGTCAGGGTTTCTGGTGTTAGGGTGGGGCTTTATGGATTATATAGTGCAAATGCATTAAATCTTTGAAAATCTTCTACTCTGCTCCTGGGTATTAAATAAAGTAACTAAGTACATAGTTATGATGAGCAAGAGTGCCTCTACCAAAATTGTGAATTTCATGGCCCCAGGGTCAGGGGTTCTGGTGTTAGGGCAGGGCTGTATTGATTATATAGTGAAAATGCATTAATTCTTTGAAAATCTTCTTCTCTGTTCCTGGGTATTAAACAAAGTAACTAAGTACATAGTTATGATGAGCAAGAGTGCCTCTACCAAAATTGTGAATTTCATGGCCCCAGGGTCAGGGGTTCTGGTGTTAGGACAGGGCTCTATTGATTATATAGTGAAAAT